AAAGAGATCTTAGTGAGTATTCCTCTGTGCTTTTTATTTCTTCAGTGGCACCTACTTCAGTATTGTATATTAGCATTGCTTGGCCGCTTGGAGGCAATTGCGAGGAAAAACTAGATTGCGAAGATAGAATAGGAGACGGAGTATGTGGGTAGTTAGGTGTTATATATTCACTCTGCAGAGGCATTCCAAAATTGGAGTCTGGTGAAGGTGTTGGCGGTGGTACATAAATAGGTGGCGGTCTTTGGACTCGAATAGCTTTAATATCTGGTTGCGGTGATGATTCAGAGAAACGTGGTAATGGTGGTAATTGATTATACATTGTGGGTTCTGGTGTCGGAGCTGATGACACATCCGTGTTGCAAGCGTCTGGATATACAATTATTTTAACAGAGTTACGTCTCAAGTTACCCAGTTCTGCTTCAAATAAAATATCACTAATTCAATTTACAGCTAGCATACGCTGCGTTGGATTTAGATGCTCTAATTTTTCACTCCAGTATAATGCCGTTGCGTTTATGTTTGTAGAACTTTGGGGTGCAGACAATAGGGAACATGCCTTTTCAATTAGCTCGTTTTGTTTACCCACTGCACAATTTTTTTTGTTTTTCCGAGGAGGAGCCAACTCGCTAATAGATGAAAAGGAAGTGTTAGATAAGTCCTCTCTATTTGTCTGCTCCTCAACTTGCACCAATTCGTCCACATTTTGCGATTCTACCTGGTTCTGAAAGAAAGAAAATTATTGTTAATTAATAAAATTGATTTTAATTCTTTACATTTATGCCCGTTTGCACCAATCAATTTTAAAATTATCAGCCTGTTAAAATTTAAAATGATAAAATGTAGTTCGGAAAATTTGTCATTTTAAATTTTAACGGTCTGATAAATTTTAAAATTGATTGGTGAAACTGAGAGTTAATTTTATATTTTATTTATAAAATGGATTTCAAATTTCTTTTTTTAGATGCCTAGTACAGCAGAAGAGTGGAGAAGTGTTTCTGATGAATTTCGTGTATTACATAATTTTTATAACTGCATCGGCGCAGTTGACGGGAAACACGTAAAAATAAAGCGTCCAAATGGTTCGGGAGCGCTATATTATAACTATAAAGGAACATACAGTATCGTTCTTATGGCTATTGCGAATGCTAAAAAGGAATTTGTCATGGTTGATATTGGATGCAATGGACGCGTGTCTGATGGTGGTGTCTTGTTTTACACTAAATTCTGGGAGCGTTTGCAACAAAATCGTTTAAATATACCGGAATGGACACCATTGCCAAACACCTCGGAATCATTCCCACATGTTTTTATAGGAGACGAAGCTTTCGCGCTAGGCCCTAACATTATGAAGCCTTATCCTCAAAAAAGAGTATCACAAGAAGAGCAATTGTTTAATAAACGGTTATCGAAGGCTAGATGTGTCATTGAGTGTGCGTTTGGTATCCTCGCCAATAAATTTGGAGTTTTCCAGAAAGCCATAAGTCTCAGCCCGCAGAAAGATTCTAATTATCAGGCACCAAATTCCAATGAGTATAATTTTCAATTAACCACCGTACAAAGCAGTTCGGCGCGAAATTCAACAAGATGTGCCAAAACTATAAGAGACAAATTTTGCAAATATTACAATGACGAATATAGATGCTAACTTTTGCCACTCAATTTTTATCACTTATGTATATGAAAAAAAAGAATAATAAAAGTTTTCACTTAAAACAACAGACAATCTACATACTACTTTCTTTTCTTTCCACCTTTATAGCTAGGTATTCACTAGAGTATGAGTAGAATTCAAGGAAATCTTTAAAACAAATTTACTAACCAGGTCAACAGGCTTCTCATTTTTATTTAAAAAGTGAAGAGCGTTAAATATCCAAGACTTTGGAATATAAACGTCTTCTGTACCAGCTCCGGAGCGCTTGGAGTCAATAATTTTTTTGAATTCCTTGCGATAATTTGATCGTAAAGAATTTATTTTTTTTCGGACATCACCTACAGTGGCGTTATCATTAATTTTTTTTAAGATTAGTAATAATTTCTCATGTCTGGCCGTTCTTTTTATTTTATTCATGTAGCTTTTGGACGAAGGATCCCACAATTCCGGCATACTTTCCAATTGTAGGATAAACTCCTTCAAACACCTTTGGTCATTCGTTAATCCCAACACCGCCGGCTGGATATGTGCGCTTTCGTCGTCCGACATTATTAAAAATTACCACTGCCAAATAAATAATTAATCCAATAATTAACGGTTCGCCTTTAACATTTAAATCTCCACTTTTTTTTGAAATACACACGTATTGACGTATCGGGAACGAAATATGCTACACGTTCAATATTTATTGACAGTACTGCGATCCGCGATCCAGATTTCAAAATTTCTAGAAATTTTGAAATCTGGATCGCGGATCGCAGTACTGTCAATAAATATTGATCGTGAGACATGGCCCAAAGAGTAACATACCATGATTACAGAAATCGCAGAAAAACCAACTGGGAACTCTTTCGCCTCTACATAGAGCGGGAAGTGAATAATTCTACGGCACCAATTGCATCCAAAAATGGTGCTACACCCTATCTCTTAAGTTGGGCTAAATGACACCAGTGTACGAAATTTCATTATCATCGACTGAGTAGTTAAAGCATAACAAAAAAACTTACCTTCGTATTTATAATATTAGTAAGGAGTATCGGTAATTCTCTAGTATAGCGTAACAACCGCTTAAAAAGGTCCGGGAGGGGTACCAAACGACGTTTCGGCCCCCCTATTAACAGTCCGGAGGGGGAGGGCTAATATTATTTGCCATTTAAAAGTTATAAACAAAAAACTGTTTTTTTAATTTCGTTGTTTTCTATGAGCGATTACCACGTCAAAAATGCACTAAATCACCAGTTTCCACTTTTAAAACACGACTTAGGGCCGGTTACTCAATGTCTGGTTAACACTAATCTGCGGTTAAACATAGTTATCGACGTCACCGACTCCCTCTTGTATGCATGGGCTCGAAGACGTCGATAACGATGTTTAACCGCAGATTAGTGTTAACCAGACATTGAGTAACCGGCCCTTAAACGTCGCCGGTTATTGTTTTATGCAAACAAAATCATTTACATATTCAAAACAGAGTAAACAAACTTGCGCCTGCCAAAATTATTATAACCTCAAATCGCTGGTATTGCCACTTTATTTCACATTTCATTTGCGCTATTACCCTCGGTTTACACTATACACTTCTTCCTCTTTTTTTACTTTCACCTAAATAAAATATTCTAACCAAAATATAATAGCGAATTTCGCTATACCATGGCAGCGCTATTTTTGTGGTTTACAGTTATTTCAACTGAAATTAAAAGTAAGCGGCATGGAGTGCCACAAGTGCGATTTTACCATTGCAACCTTTCATTATTTATGGAAGTATTGATTTTAATGGAAAAAGCGCCGCGCGCGATTTTTTATTAAAAATTTTCATTATTTATCGAAGTACTGATTTTTATGGAAAAAGCGCCGCGCGATTTTTTATTAAAAATGTTCATTACTTATATATATAATATATATATCAAACGAAAGAAGATACCGAAAAGCATTGAACACTGCACTCCCCTTGTAGGGAAAAGTGAATTATTACGAAATACTAATATAGTGGCAGTACTATAGCTACTTTGGAATCTCGCGTTTCAGTTCGCAAAGATTGCCAACTTCTTTTTAGTAACAAAATAATCTATCTTAGGTTGATAAAATTATGTGTTTGTTTAATAATTAAGTCAAATTATATATTTTAATAGTGTTTAAAAAGTGAGAGCAGGTGATTTAGTGAATCTTTGTCGGGGTAATTGCCCATACAAAACAACGAGATTTAAAAAAGTTTTTTGTTTATAACTTTTAAATGGTTAATAATATTAGCCTCCCTCCGGATTGTTAATACGGGGACCGAAACGCGTCGATTGGTGCCCCTCCCGACGTTTCCGGATCTTTTTTAGCGGTTGTTACCCTGTACTAGAGAATTACCGGATTATCCCGGACTGACCATTAAAATAATTTTTAAAGGTCAGCATTTTTTACACAGACCCAAATACACAAACACAAAAAATTACACCCGGGCGTATACATTTTTTGCCTGTGATTGGTTGTGTTCAACAAAAAACCATTATTAAATAAAAAGGTACGTGGTGTTTTCTCAAAACGACATTTTAGAAATGTTAAGTGGCACGTTGTCCTATAACATAGAATTCTTCTTCTGAAGTAAATAAGTATATCGTCACCTGAAATGCAAAAAGACGTAACAACATCGTAAATGAAATAGAAAAAATTGGGACTAATATCTTTTTTTCATAAAATGATGTGGAGAGTTGTAGTTCGATTAAATCCAACATATAAATCAAAAAGTGAAGCTAGAATTTTTTATTAGTTATGACTTTTTGCATTTCAACGATGATGCTTGTTACGTCCTTTTTCATTTCAGGACACGATATGTATATATTTTATACACAGACAAAGTGCCGCCTAATGACTATCACAAGAAAATTCACGATTTTTATAAAACACGCGAATTTCAGTTACAGTAGGGAGCTGCCTTTCTTCCCGTATTTAACTGGCCCATTTGTTTAATATCTCTAGCTTTAGGTCAGAGAGCTTCACCTGAAATATTCTGCTGATTTAAGCGAGTAAATTACTCATTTAAACCATTGGTTTTGCTATAAATAAATATTCACATATATGAATAGTATTAACGAAGGTATAGAAAACAGATTTAATGGTTCAAATGCTTTGTGACGGCAACCAGTACGCAAAAAATCGCCATCTGAAAATCATATATAGAGATCTTACAAAAAATATTTTTCGATACACACTAAACCCGTAAAAGTCAATTTACAGACTTATTTCAAAATTTTAATTTTGTGGGAAAACGCAATCAAAGTTTGATCAATTAATACAGTTGATATACCAAAATATAGATGGGGAGACACATACTATCAGCTATGTCGTGGAATCCGATGTTCTCCTTATCGGATTTGAATCCGTCAACTTTTCTCGTTAAGTGTCGCGAAATCCGATCTTATCAATTTTTATGTTCGAAAATTGTGTTTATCGGTTTTGGGTGTCGCAGAATCCAAGTTTGTCGGTTTTGTGATCGGAATTAAAACGGTCATTCAAAGCCTACTATTTTTGCTTATTTGTTTGTGCTATGCATTGAAGTAGCTGGTTATTTTCTTAAAATGTAAGTAAATGTATTATATTTGGTATGAAATTCACTTCCTGTTTAATAATAAAATTATATACATATGTATTTCCAGGGGAAAACATAAGAATAGGGCACAAAATGATATACTCCTGCAATTTATGGAGAAGTACACGGACATCGCCAAGGACTTTACAAAAAAGGATAAACAACTAGTAGACTCCCTTTGGCAGCAACTATCCGAATCACTGTGCTGGCCCGCCTACAAAGGATATAACTGGTTGGAAAAAGGCAATCAACAAAGCGTACTCGTGCATAATGGCCAAACCCTTCGTTACTCTCTAATTTTCTTCTAATTTCAGGTATGGACGGACTGGAAGAGTGAGGTGAAGAAGAAGTTGGAACGCGCACTGGTGGAGGACCCTTCTCCAAGAATACACTGACCCAGACCGAGGAGAGTATTGTGCGTATTTGCGGAATGGTGCAAAGTGTTGAAGGTGTCTCAGGATCAGCACTTGGTCTCGAGGAAAAGTACCTCATATCTAGTGACGATGACATGCCTTCAACTTCTGCGAAACGTCCACGTTTTGAATGTCCGCAAGTTCAAAACCCGACAGCGAAGAAAACCACAAGTGAGCGTCTAAACAAATTTATGCAGTTGGATAAGGAATGGAAGCAGGACGTCCGAAATAAAATGGATGCAATGTTAAAAATTCAACAGGAAGGAAATTAATCGAATAGGCTATTAATTAATGTCGTTAATAACTTAACGCAGGAGTTTACGACCTTTAATGCTAAAATTATTGAATTGCTAGAAAACGTGAAGAGGAGATTCGGAATAATTATAAGACTTGCTGTTGTGAACCTTTTTAATTTCATAAATCGCTAGCTTAGAAAGAAAAGTTGCTAAGTCCCATTTTAAAAATTTTACAGGAGGAAAAAATCTTCCTATAGCCATTTTCTTTAACTATTTCGCAAGACTTTGAATCAAACATTTTGCGCGTTTGAAGCACAGCAAAACTCCATAAGAATCAGAAGGATTCAATATTTATTAAAAGATGTCGTATTATTTTCGCCTTATCGGATTTGTGGTGCTTCTTTTGGACTTAGCAAATTTTCCTTTTATTGCTTATGAAGAGGAAAAAATAAAACAAGTACCTTTATAATTTTCGAAACGATGCGTATTCAATTTCTCTAGCATCTTATATCAAGATATGAGTTTTCATAATAAGTGGACTTAGCAACTTTTCACTCTAAGCTAGCGATATGTACCTTCACATTTTGAGTACAAATTAGTTTTATAAGTATTCCCAAGAATGAATGTTTTAGTTTTCTATATTTTTGAAAGAAACTTTTTTAAATGTATATAAATAATACCGAATTATTTACTTGTAGGCACAAACTAGCCAGAATATGTTTCCGTACGGTGTTTTTTTTTTAATATTTGCAATGTTTTTTGTACATTTCTTTCGTAAGTTTTTGCATCTAGTGGTATATAAAATAATGATTCAAAGGTTTTACAAAATTTAGGAAAACTCGACAAATTTTCAACTTACTGAACTTTCTAAAACTAAATTACGAATACTTTTGTGAGTGACTGTATGTAAATCTGTTATTTGTACAGCGAAACCCGCTTAAGTACCCCCCCGCTTAAGTACTTAACCCGCTTAAGTAACCAACATTTTTGGCAATGTGAATGCAATCTGACGAAAATCCCTCTCTCAAGTACCTCCCCGCTTATTTACCCAACCCGCCTGAGTACCTCAATTTTTCGTAGCCCATTTACCATTTTACCTATAATTTTCCCCTTTTAAGTGCTCCTTTAAAATTCCTTAAAATATTTACATATTTTCCATATCAGTAGCAGCGTTACACACCTTCGGCAAAACAATTATAAAAAATCAATGGTAGTTTTTAGCCACTTGAAACTTGCACATTATCACACAAGAATTGAATGGGCTATAAAACTGTATGCTCAAAAAACACATCTGAGAAAAAAATTTTAAAATTTGATGAATTTTTTCCTTTAAGTGTTCTATAAAATCTTAAGCTTAGGTTTACATGGTATTTGTTAGGGAATGAACTGTATTTTAATTAAAAAATCTTAGATAAGTAAAAGATGTAACTACATCAATAATTATCTTCGCTTAAGTACCCGCATCGAGGGACTTAAGAGGGTTCTTTTAAGTACCCAACCCGCCTAAGTACCT